AAATGTCCAAACAGATTAGTGGGGCAATATGACCTCCACAACCTTTTTTTGTAGCAAGCAGTTGCAGAAGTAATAGAATTGAACTTCAATACTTCTCTTGATTTTATTGGTCTGCACCCATGTTACTTGAACATATTTCAGTTTTTTAAAATTATACACAAGGGGAAAAAAAACTGACCTAAGAGAATACTGAACCAGTTAGTTAAATACATGACTAACGTCTAGGTCATCTTTGAATTGGTCCTAAAGGAATGTACCACCCTAACAGTTTGAGAATTAGGCAAATAGGATTTCTGTGGAAAAAAAGGCTGTATAAAGAAAGGACAAATGTTCTTACTATATAGTTAGAACAGCTCTTGATCTTTCATCTGTAAATTATATTTCTATACTACCCAATATCCATTTCAATTCAAATAGGTTCTTGGTTACCAGGTATAATCCTGGTCCAATCTGGAATTGTAGCTGATTTTTAAAAACTTTTTACTTACCAAGTCATAGACCCTGGAAATAAAATTAATTCCCATCAGTGACTGGTAAATAGCCCTGATCCTATCAGACAGCATTTATTTTCTACACTGCTCACTTTTTATGTTTAGAAGTTGTTTCCAATTGTACTCAAACTGAATATTCACCATAATTTCAGAATTTTGGATAAGACCTACATTTGTAATACATATAATCCAACACTTGTCTACCTCAACCATCCCATTGTGAAAATAAAAGGAGAATTCTTATCATTTAATTATGTGAATTGTATTTTATAAGATTTATGAAGCAGCATGAGACTGCATAGGATTGAGGACTATTTTATATTTTTTTTGGAGAGAGAGTACTAAGAATAACATAATTTTTAGACATCTATAATTTTAAGTTAACTATTGGTAGTCAAAATAAGAGGTCTTTGCGCAATGATGATTGATATGCTATAGCAACTGATTTCTATAAATCTTTATTTAAACCAGAAGCTTCTTAATATTTAATACTGTATTTGTGTTGTTAATGTGCATATGAGTATATAGTTTGCAAAAACTTGCTGTTCTGGATTTGTAACTGAGAAACTAAAGAGAAGCCCTTCCCTTAATCCTGCTATTCCCTTAAGTAAAATGTCCTATCACTCACCTCTCTTTCATTATCATACTTCTACAAAAGTAGCTTCTGTTGATTCACTACCTCCACTTACCCCCATAAACTCTCAGCAATTTCTTTCTCCATATATTTCTTAGAAAGTTTCATCTGGCTCTCTCCTTTATCCTTATGTTATTTTGATCTTGCATTATGCTTATTTGGGTACATGCAATCTTCTCTTTCCCACCCCCACCCATTACCACAGTATCAATGAATGTGTGTTGAATTTAGTGGAATGGTGGTGACATCACACGGAATAAGGAATTGGGGGAGGGGTAGTGGAAAATGATAAGCTCAGTCAGTAAGTCAATAAGTATTTATTAAGCACTTACTATTAGTCAAGCACCGTACTAAGTCCTAAGGATACTAAAAAGGTCAAAACAGTTTCTGCCCCAGTGGTATGCTGAAATCAGCTCTAACCACTTTAGTGTAAGCATTTGCTCCTTAAAAATCAAAATAACTATAAATCAGGGTTTGATTTATTGTTTTGTTGATTATCTAGATTTAGGAAAGTATTAATAATGCAAATTGGGGTGCATGAGGTATTCAAGGAACACTAGCATCTCTGGTATGAGAGTTTGCCAAGCCTTTCCCAAGGCTGTTCATCCCCCTTTGGTATCCACTTTCACTAAACTCTCATCTGTGGCTCTAAGGATCTGTAGCATGTGCAGGAGGCACATATCCTGGCAGATGGGCTAAACTGGGTGGAGGGCAACTGAAGGGCCTCAAACCTGTCGGTGAGTTAGGGGGATGGCTACCTTAAACATGTGAAGACTTTCCTAGAAGGAATGGGCAGATGAAAACATCTTGTTCCAAGGGCCATAAAGGCAGCTGAAGAAGGTGCTATGGAGTGCTGAGAGCTTGGTCAGACATCAAAGATGCCAAGATCACTCACTGCCTCCTGGACCATCACCAGTCATCCTGACTTTTGTCTTGCCACTGGACATTGATGATTTTGGAAGAGAGAATGAGGCTGACGAATTTATGCAACTCTGCCTCACTTAAATGCAATTCACATGTGATTGGTCCTCTTCAAAATGAAGGACAAATAACAATAATGCAAATTAAATTTAAAATAGTGTCTGCATACATCCCCCTCCTCTCTCAGCCTGGTTGTTAAATATTTATTAGCACACTCCTGTATTGCTCTATCAACAGTGCTTGAACTCAGCAGCAGTACAGTAGAGGGCTCAGGGAATGAAGTTATCACCAGAATGGAGGCTTGGTGACTGTAGGTTAATAATAATAATAAGAAGAAGAATGTATGTAGCACTTTAGAGTTTTTGAAGTAGTTTACATAAATTATCTCATTTGAGCTTAACAACACCCCTGCCCTGCCTTCAAAGAACTTATATTTTCACAGAGAAACAAACAGGTATGAAAAAGGCACATATAAAATACATAAAAAGTAGCTTACTTTTAGATAATCAATTTAATCTAATCTAATTCTAATCTAATAATTAGTGTTTATCCCTACACTCTCTACCATTCCCAGTGCATCCTTCAAAATGTTCATTGTTTACACTGCATATTTCACCAACCAATCAATATTAATATGCCTAGAGAAACTAACTAATTTGCTCAAGGTCATCCATTTACAGCGGGTACAGCCAGAATTCAAATGTAGGTCTTCTGTTGCTATACCCATTGATCTTTCTAATACATTGCACTGCCTCCGTGACTATTTTTTTTTGAGCCTATATCTCCTAATCCCGCCCAGGCTGGAAGTATAGCCAGTGATCATTCACAGTTTCTATTCCAATACTGATTATCAAGGAAGCTTTTACCTGCTACATTCTTTCTGATCCAAACTGGTTCATTCCTCCTTAGGCAGCCTGGTGGGCTCCTGCTCCTAGAGACTCCTCCTATTGGTGCTGAACTTGGCATAGACACTTGATCGGCTTTATCCATACTGCAGTTAAGAACTCCTGAGCTTAACTAGTCTACAGCCTTAACCTCCCCAATGGGAGGGAATAGATGTGTACCACCACCACTCTTGGCTGTGTTTATTTCATTCTATCTTGTATCCTAATTATTTGCATCTATGTCTTATCTTCCTTCTATATTATTAGCTCCTGGATAGCAAGGGCTTTGTCTTTATATTCCCAGAACAGTTCCTTAAATATAATAGATGTTTAATAAATATTTAATGTTTGTGTTATTGCAGTTGTCCATTGACCTATAAAGTTAGAGGAGGTTTTTTTCTTTCTTTTCTTTTTCTTTATTTTTTAAGCATAGATAAAATTATATTGTAAAAGTACATTCTCTTTATAGAAAATAGATAATTTTTATGGGCCTCATGGTTTTAGGGATGGGAGAAGGCACATGTCGTTGATGCTAGACAGTGCCTCAGAAAGTTGTTGTCAGCTGGTGCAAAAAAAAAAAAAGACCCAAAGTTTACAAACATATGACCAATTCACATATTTCCCTAGTGCTTAGTTCAGTACCCTACATTCTTCTAGATGCCTGCTTAGTGCTGGTCAATTTAACTATGTTTGGGCCATTAACATTAATGTTCATTGAAAGATTACTGAGGCTCTCTGTATATATTTCAAGTTAGTTCATCAAATACTAAGTGCCAACCCCTGTGGCTGTATGCCCAAACTGTGCAATGTGATAAGTAAGTGACATATTCTTTGCCTTTAAAGATTATGATCTTGCCTGGAGTGGGGGTGGGGGTGGGAAGCTAGGTACTTCATAAATGTTGAATGTAATTGTTGAATGTAATCAAATTGATTTATACTTTTCTTCCAAGAAGACATGTTGACTTCTCTCTGAGGCAGCCCTTGATGTTCAATTAAACCAAACAACCTGTGTAAAATTTCCATGGATGTGAAGGCACACAGTAATTTATCCAGGGTCCTGTAATCCTTTCAGGATAGGTGCTGGTTTTTATCATTTGTCTTCTAAGAATACTAAATAGGAAGAAATGATACACATGCTAATCAACCTTTGGGACTGATGAAGTATTTGGGGGAGATTTTAATGGTCAATTCTCTCTCCCTTTAGATAAAACTAATTAATCGAAATTTAGATAAAATTAATTTATCCCTTCAGATAAAATTAAATAAGTGAAAAATTCAGCAATTCAGTATCTTGTGTGTGTGTGTGTGTGTGTGTGTGTGTGTGTGTTTTGTCTTACAATAAATTATTGTAAGAGGAAAAGCCCTGGTGTGACAGGCTCATGGAATTTGAACCAGCAATCACATATTTTTTAGGTCTTCACAAGTGCAAATTTTGGATAGGGACTACTGTATTCTATTAGTATTGTATTCTTTACACTCAACACACATTTTAAGTACCTACTATTATTAAGTTGCTGTGCTAGATACTCTGAAGATAAATATGAAAGGCACCCTGCCCTCAAGGAACTTATTATATTGCTAGGGATGCAATACATACAATTAAGTAAATACAAGGATGTTTGAGTGAAAGTCAGCACTAAAAGTGGGAGGGGGAAGAATTGGGGAAATTAGGAAAGATTTTGTATAGGAGGCAACCTCTAAGCTGGGACTTAAAAGAAGTGAAGGATTGTAAGAGCTAGAAGTGAGTAGTTAGTGAATTCCAGGTACAGGAGAAGATAATTGAACCTATTTTATTTTCACTCCTTGTTGTTTATTAACATTAGAAGCAAAATAAAAGGAACAAAGGAGAAGAAATTTGTCTGTAGAGAACATTCTTAACTTCAGCTGTTTGATGGACCTTCTGGGTTACACACTAATAAACCTTTGGGACCAATGTAGTATTTGGAGAGATTTTAGTGGGGAATTCTCCCCTAAGAGGAAACAAAGTAAGTGGAAATGAAAAAAAAAAACCAAACAACCCTGCATCTTTCATGCTTTTTTTTTTCTTACAATAAATTCTCTTCATTATAGGTTCTTATACCTTTGTTCCTTGGCTTCTCAGTTTTAAAAGAGGAAAAGCCCTAGAAGAAAAAGAAAATAAAATACTTGTCAAAGAAACTGGTTACTTTTTCATCTATGGCCAGGTATTTCCATGGATAATTTTATGTCCAGCTTTGTATGCCTATGATTTTCCACCTTAATGCTTAAAGACTTTATTTTTTTTTTTTGTTTCTCAGGTTCTGTACACAGATACCACCTTTGCTATGGGACATCTTATACAGAGGAAAAAGGTCCACGTTTTTGGGGATGAACTGAGTTTGGTGACTTTGTTCCGGTGTATCCAAAATATGCCAACAACTCTCCCTAATAATTCCTGTTATACGGCTGGTAAATGTTGGCTCTCAAATCTGATTACTGGGCATTAAAACAAAGAAAGTCTACTAATAGCAGCTAATGTATGACCAGGACACAACTCAAGCTCCTACTTTATGATGATTTGATGGAAATTTTTCCTTTTAATAATCACATTTAACTTTAGGTATATTTATTGAGATATGTATGAAAATGAAAGTATAAAATTTGTCTTAAGGTATATGTGGCATTTAAAAAATAAATTCTATTGAAATCTTTTGTTTTTTATATCATATTGCATTTCCCAATATGTATTCTTTCCCTTCCCATAAAACTATGGCTTATACCAAAGAATAAAAAAGAAAAAAATCTAAAATTTAATATCTAAAATTTCTACCATCATATATAGGGCTCCACACCCATAGACTCAACTTCTGCTAAGAAGTAAGAGGAAGTAACTTTTCATATTTCTTCTTTGAACTTAAGCTTGTTCACTGTAATTTCATACCATTCAGTATTAGTTTTTTTGTTATTGTTCTTTTCCATTTACATTGTTTTGGTTATTGTGTCTATTGATTTCTTGGTTCTACTTTTTTTCTTTTTACATCAGCTCATATGTCTTCCTATGCTTCTCTGTATTATTATATTAATTGTTTCTCAAAGGGAAGTAATCATTCCATTACATTCTTGTATTACAAGTTGTTTAGTCAATCAGTGGGCCCTTATTTTCTTTCTAGTTCTTTGCTACCAAAAAAAATAGATGATAGAAATATATTGGTATATATGGGATCCTTTTTATTATTGACACCCTTGAGTTGTACATCATGATCTCTTTGCATAATACCAAATTGTTTTCCAAAATGATTAAAGCAGATTACAACTCCACCAACAATGTATCCTATGTGCCAGTCTTCTCCAAATCTGTTCAACATTATTCCCATCATGTTATCTTTGCCAATTTGCTGTGTATGAAATGAAAATTCAGAGTTGTTTTGCAGCACTTCCTGGAAGGAATGCAGTAAATTTGAGATCCAAAACTCTTTGTGTAATTTTTGCCATTTACAGAATCTCAGGATTGAACCTAAGAGGTCAGTTAGTGTAACTCATGCCTGAATAGTAGTCCCCTTACTAGCATCTGCAAAAAATGGGATGATTAAATTTTTTTTTAGAAAAGTCCTTATTTCATGTTCTCTGTTTTTCTTTATTAAAAAGCATTGAAGGCCACATAATTGTTTTAATACGCCATTATGAAATGAAAAAATAATCATTTATTAAGTGCCTAATATCTGTCAGGCATTGTGCTAACTGATTTACAATCACTTCACATCTGTCTGTCTCAGTTTTCTCAACCACAAAATGGAAATAATAATTGTGCCTACCTCACAGAGTTGCTGAGAGGATCAGATGTAATCTCATCACATTTAACTTTAGGTATATTTATTGAGATATGTATGAAAATGAAAGTATAAAATTTGTCTTAAGGTATATGTGGCATTTAAAAAATAAATTCTATTGAAATCTTTTGTTTTTTATATTGTATTGCATTTCCCAATATGTATTCTTTCCCTTCCCATGAAACTATGGCTTATACCAAAGAATAAAAAAGAAAAAAATCTAAAATTTAATATCTAACTCATCTGATCCTCACAGCAACTCTGTGAGGTAGGCACAATTATTATCTCCATTTTGTGGTTGAAAAAACTGAGACAGACAGATGTGAAGTGACTTGCCCAGGGTCACATAGCTAGTAAGTATTTGAGACTGGATTTGAACTCAAATTTTCTAGCCTAGCATGCTATCCATTGTGCTACCAGCTGCCTCTAATGATGAAATGAAAAAGTAGGCTTACTTTTTAGAAATATAGGGGGGGAAATCTAGTAGCTTTTAAAAAAGTCAATAAAATAAAATACTTCAATTCATGGTTAAGAAGCTGAGATCATTTGGGAAACTACTGTCAGAGAACACACAGTAAACATCACGAAGAAGTACATTTAAATGGAATCACTTAATCTTCATTAAAAAAAAAAACTGACAAAAAATAAGTAACGCAACTGATAGTCTGGTAACTATTGACCCCATGTGCTTTAATATTGCTAAGCATCCTTAATAGCAAACTCCTTTTGATTAGTTAGTACTTTGTCATGTTTATGAACTCTTTCAAGTCCATAGAATATCATTTCTTTTTATCATAGCATTTATTTCTAAAACGATTATTGTTATTCCTTATTTTTGTATCATAGTTGTTACCAGATATACCACTTCCTTGAAGTACGTTTTCCCTTATAACAAAGACCAACAAAAATAGTTAAGCAAACCTCATCTGAAGCCAGTAGTCCCCCATTGTGGCAATGGAAGGTGGGAGATTCATTTGCTCATCTCTTTTCTGGGGCCAAGATGAGCTATTGTAATTACTCAGCATTCTGCTTCATTTGATTATTTTTGTCATTTACATTTCTGTAAGTCATGTGGATTTTTTCTTGGTTCTGGTTCCTTATTTCCTTTGCATCTGTTTATGCAATGTTTCATTACTTCTAGAAATTACTCATAATTGCTATTTTTTCTTATAACACAGTGATTATATTTTATTACAGCTTTCTACCAGAATTTCTTTAGCCATTCCCCAGTTGTTGGGTATCTACTTTGTTTCTTGTTCTTTGCTTCCATAAAAAATGCTATAAACGTGAATATTTTGCCATAAATAGAACATTTCTATCTTTGACGTCCTTTGATTATATATCTAGCAGTGTGATCTCTGAGACAAAAGATATAGACATTTTGGTCACCTTTCAACCCATAATTTCAAATTTTTTTTTAGAATGGTTGGATCAATGCACAGTCCTACCACAGTCCAACCTGTCATCCCACAGAAACTCAATACTGTTTCCATTTTTGTCATCTTTGTCAATTTGGTGTCAGGTGAAACCTCAGAGTTATTTTAATTTATATTTTTCCTGTTATATGTGATTTAGATCAGTCTTTCATAGTTTGTAATTCTTCTGATAAATGTTTATTAATTTCTTTTGATTACTTATCTATTGGGTAATAACTCTTGGTTACACATCTGTGTTAATTCCTAACATATTTTGTATATCAGAAATTTATTAGAATCATTTAATGCAAAATTTTTTCATCCTAATCTTAGTTTCCATTTTTATCTTAGCTGCATGAATTTCATTTATGTGAAACTTTTTCAATTTCATATGGCCAAATTATCCATTTTATCTTTTATTATCTATCTGATATCTTTTTTTATTGAGAATTCTCCTTCTTTCTATAATTTTGAAAGTTACCCACCACCTTTCCTTTTCTTCCATTTTTTTTCTTGAATGATGTAACCTTTAACATTTAAGTTGAATACCCATTTTGAACTTGTTTTATGTGGTATAATATGCGGATAAAATCCTATTTTTTACCACTCTGCTTTTCCAATCTTGCTTTACTTCATTTTAGTTCTAATTCATCTGAGATATTTGTTCCATTAAAACATTGGGCTTCTCTATCCTAGGAAACAAATTTGTTGGCCCATTCCCTATAATATTAAACTATTATCACTCAGGGATGTTCTTAATATTGGGATTTAGATGTCAACCAGGAGGAGGCAGGTAGGTGGAAGAAGGGATTGAGAAGTAGAAAATTGCATATAGTCAATCTTTTAATTCCATCTTCCTTTCCCTCCCTACTGCCACCACTTCTTTTCTAAAGAGCACATTACCTTTTCTTTTCTAAACACAGTTGGCATACACACCTACGTAAAACAACTTTACTAAAAGATTTATATTGCAGTCTGTAAATTTTAAGGATTAAGGCATTATTATATTACATTATATATTATTGTAATATACTATATATTAATTATAGCATTGAAAGTAATGTATGTCATGTAATTTTATAATTATTTTATTTATTCCTATTTATTAAGATAACCTATAGTTAAACAAAAATAATCTTTGTGGGCAATTGATTTATTTAGTTTCAGTCCATTTGTCTTTTATAATCAATCATCAAAGAAGTAATTTGGTGAAGACAGTGAATGATGGGATTATTTAACTTTCAAAATGTGCATTTATCTGTCTTAGTTGTTCTTCCACTTAGAAAGGATTTTTTGTTTGTTTCTTTAAAGTATATGCACTGCATTAAAAAGTTAGCTTATTTACTTTTGAAGTTTGCAGAATCTTGCTAATAGTTTTTTTTTTTCCCCAAACTGAATTGTTCCCACTTTGATTTTAGGTTAGATTCTACTTAGCTGAAATCTGTCTGAATTACAAAGTAATGACTAGTAGGCAAATCCGTTTCAGCTTCTATTTAAAGTGTTCAAATTAAATGAGAATTGTTTTTCTCTCCTTTTTGCATAACCACTTAAAGTTCTTCTGAATTGTTTTCCCAGGCATCGCGAAGCTAGAAGAAGGGGATGAACTTCAACTTGCGATACCTCGTGAGAATGCCAAAATATCCCAGGATGGAGATGGCACTTTTTTTGGTGCACTGAAGCTGCTCTGACACACTCATTAGCACTGTGTTTGGGGCTATTTCCTTCTCTTTTTCTATACCTCCTGGGAGGGGGGAGGGGAACTGGAACTACCCAAAAGTGGTTACATTAGTCTTTTCTATGAGCCATTTGTCCTGGTTTGATGAACCCAGACCCAAACAGGAACCCCAGCAAACAACCACAGCTGAATTATAGCCATATGAATGATGACAAATTTAGCCCATTTCAATAGAGAAGGAATTAGAAATAATTTTTTAACTTTGTTGGCATATTTTGTCTGTTGGCTGTGTCTTTATATTCAGGATGTCACATTAACTTAAAAGGGACAGTGAGGATTCATTCAAATTTCACATTCCATAGTTTTATAAAACAAAGTGAAGGTGTCAACAAAATGTTGTCATTGATAAGAATAATATAGAAGTCACTTCTTATGTTTGTGTCTATTGGACCATTTTTTCTACCTAACATTACATAAAATAAGACATTACCAAAATAAAATTATATCTATGAAACAAAAACAAAAGCAAAATGTAAGGGGTTAACAATTATAATGGCATGTTATTAAAGAATTTTGCTCAAGATATTATCTTGGGAGTATTAGAGCTTTGACTTGTATCATGTTATGTTTATCTTTATATTTAGTTTTCTGAATTACTTGATGACAGGCAAACTTCTCATAAGAAGGAAACAAAAAAAATAAGTATGAAGATGTATCAAAATCATCAGAGAAAATGAAAAGAAGTTAAACAATTTTGTACATGAGCTTGGACAGAATTTGGGAGATGGAGGAAAGAAGGGCCTGGGGCACTATGGTCCATGGGGTCAAGAAGAGTTGGACATGTCTGAACAACTAAACAACAAGCATTCTGATGTGTAGTTTGGTTACAGATCAAATCTAAAATTTGGGTATATGTGCAACATGAACTGCACAAGTAATTGCAATTGCAATGACATAAAGAATGAGCAAACTCCATTAGCATAAGTTGATATCCATTTCCGATACCTGTTTCAAATTGCTTCTATTATAATTTACAAGTAAATCGCACTGAAAACGTTGGCAATTAGCAGCCGTAGCATTCTAGCATGTATAACATGTCACATTTTATAACTGATCTTTAATGGTGGAATCTGGAAACCAACATATCTTATGAGTTTTTTTCTATTAAGAACCATATCTAACATTGCTGCAACCTTGTCTTTCATTTTGTAGCATTCATTGTAAAGAACTAATTGAATTGGTTAAGTCCCCAAATGGGAAGATCACAAAAATAAGAAACTTCAGTTCCAACTATGCATTGTGTTTAAAATTAACTCCTACTCCCCTTGTTTAAAGCTAAATGTTATAGTTTTCATTTAAAAACCAATGCATTTCCCCTTACAGCACATGGACCATACCTAATGTGGAATTCTTGGTTATATTTCTTGTGTTGCTACCAATTTGAATTAACTAAATAATTTAACTTTTTATTCCTCATTTTCCCTATACATATAGCAGTCTGGCCTATATCAAGTATATTTGATTTGTTCTTATGTGACCTCAAATTAATTTTTCATCTTCACAGTTATAAAACATTTTAAAATTAACAGATATTCATAGTTCAAATATATTATAAAATCTGGATTTTTTTCTTTTTTGGAAATTATTGAATTTAGTACTATACTTGAAAGAGGCAACATGACACGATGCATAGGAGGATGGCCCAAGTCAGGAAGACCTGTGTTCAAGTCCTTCCTCTGAAACATATTGTCTGTGAACCTATGGGAAAGTCACTTAACCAGCAGTTAGCATAAGTAGTATTATTGCTCTTTTGAAGATGAGGAAACTGGAACTCAGAGAAATTATCCACAGTCATACAGTTAACACATTTTAGAGCCAGAATTTAAACTAACTCCAAGTGCAGTGCTTCTTCTTTGACACCTCTCTTCACATAACCCTGATCATGAACAACCAAAGATATTGCAATAAAATATAAGTAGGATGGAAGAGGTAGAGAGTTGATCTCTGAGTAGGGAGACCTGGCTTAAAGTCTGACCTTTGACACATATGTGTCACACATGTGATTGTTTACAAGTCATTCAACCTTTTCATGTTCCTCTTAACTCTCTAGTTTATTAAGTTGTACAACGATTGCATGTACTTATTGGATGAGAGGGTTTCCTCACTGGGAGTTCCTATACCAATGAAATTACGTATATGGACCAAAACTGGAAAAAAATTGCATAGAAGTGGGAAGTACACTGTATGTTTGGGGCTTAGTAGTTCCTCTGGGTTTTCTGAAATATGGAGTACGTGGAAAAGGGTAGTATGAGTTAACTCGGGAAAGAGAGTGTTGAGCTAAATTGAAGAAGGTCTTGAATGCCAGAATGAGGAGTTTGAACATTACTTGCCAGGTAATAGGATGCTATTGAATTATTTTTAAGCAGAGTACTGCCTAAATGTATCTATACAAAGAAAATAATTTTGTTTGATATTCCACTACACAACACAGTTTTCCAAAATAGCTTATTGTCCTGTCCTGACTAAATTCTGATTTATTACGGGCTGCTCTGTGATGGACTAGAGAGGTTAATACAGCTGCCAGTGATGCTTCATTTTATATAAGGGAGTAATGAATGTCCTGGGAGAATCTATTTGAACATTTTAAAGTTCTTGGAAGTAGAGACCATCTTTTAAATGTGATTTCATATGTTAATAAAAGCATTCAAAATTGTTTTTTTCTGATTCTAATTCAAATAAATAAAATTTTGCACTATAGACTTCATTGCTCTAGTGTCTCTTTTTGCTATAATAAAATAATTGTAATAGCAACTTCTATTTATATGGTGCTTTATGGTTTATGAAAATTTTCCTCACAATATTCTTTTAAGATAATGTACATAAGTATCATTAATACCATTTTGCAAACGAGAAAGTTGAAGTTCATAGAAGTTAAATGATTTTTTCGGTTTCTCATAGCTAATAAGTGCTAGAAACAGAACTTTAATCCAAGTCTTCTGACTCTACATCCAATACTTCTCCCATGATATCATTCTTCAAATAGGACTTGATGATTAACAACAAGAGACATTACCCTAGTCCTGGCACATGGAGGGCACATGGCATAGTGGATAGAGAGCTAGTGACAGAATCAGGAAGCTCTTGCTGCAAGTCTTTCCTCTGACAAGAGCCCTCAGCAACTCTCTTCACCTGACAACTCAGAGACTGTAAGTTGCAGCACAATTTTGCATTGGTAGAGAATTTTCTCCCTCGCTTCCTCCCAAGAAAATTTCTATATCAATAAAATCAAAGATCTAAATCAAAAGAAAAAAGGATATTTACATTATTCTACTACCATATTAAGTTTGTAGAGTTAGCATTATTTTGTGATTGAAATTATTTTGTAAGCTTGTATCATTGAATTCTCACAAAAATGCTTTAAGAATACATAGTGAGTTATGATGTTTGTTGTTGATTTTTATATTAAACCTAGGTTTGAAGATTATTTTTGCCTTGTTTTTCTTTAATTTCTAGCCCCAAGCATTAACACTTATTATGCCAACAAAAACATTTGTCTCTTGGGATAAGTAACAAAGTTATCTGTATTATCATAAAAAATACATCATATTAGAAATGTCTGACTGGTCACTCTCAGATATTTTCACTATGGATGACATTATGGAATAGCTAATACAGTATTGAACTGTTTGAGATGGTTGAGCAAATTGAATCATCAATACCAATAAAAAGTTAGTTTGCACCTAGTTAAATAGATGATTAGGAACTATGCTGTGTGATACATAGTTTTGAACAAGTTATTTAAGTCTTTGTTTTACTTTCTTCATCTGAAAAAACGTCATAGTATGAAGTATTTCTACATATAGGCACTATACATTTGTAAAATGCATTTACCTCTGAAGAGATGAGACAGTAAAAGTCTATGTCTTGTTAATTTGGTGTTATTATTCTTAGTCAATGTAGTAGTATGCTAATATAACCTATATGTCATGGCTGTCTATAAGATTTTTGGAGAAGATGGTGATTAGAAAATGAAGCCAAAACATTTTTTGACCAAAATTAGTATAGGATAAGTATCAAGTAACTATGTCAGGCCACCATGAGGGTGCTGGAAACAGATACCCCAGCAGGTGTGGTTTGTATTAGCAAATTTCCCCCATCAATATATGAATCATAGCTTTTGGGAACTGTTACCATGTGTCCATTAATAGGAAGTTCTGGTTATTTTCATTGGTCTTCCTTTCCATTTAATCCCATAGACATTCTATGTGATGAAACACTTGTGGTGGGTGTGGTGGCAGCAAAAGTGGAGGATAGAGAGAAAAGCTATAAGAGCAGGAAAAGTCTTATGAAAATTGAATCAGTAATACTTCCTAGGTTTTTTGATATGTATGTCCATGTTTTCTACAACTACAAAATCAACTGCAAATATAGTACTAATTATATAAAATCCCCAGTGAAACACACTTGAATAAGTTGGGAATAAACGCATCAGAATGAATACATAGTCTAACATTACACAAAGTCTATACTCTGTCTCCAAAACCCTGTTTCTTTGCCTTGTGGAGACCATTTCTGGAATGAAATGAAGAGGCATCACAGTTTAATGGGAATCTTGCTAGCCCTAGGTTCAGAGGACCTGGGTTGACAAACTATCTCTGTCCCCTACTATCTGTGTGACTCTGGACAACTTATAACCTTGCTGGGCCCTGATTTTCTCATCTATAAAGTGAGAGAGAGGATTGGACTAAATGACCTAAAAATGACTTTCTTAAAGGACAAATCTGATTTTGTCACATCTCTGCTCAATAAGCCCCAGTAGCTCTTCATCATTCCATGACCTGTCTCCATAGCTTCGTATTACTTGTCCCTTAAAATGTACTCCTTCCTCATTTTGGTGAATTCTTAGTTTCCTTACAGAAATGCCACTTTCTTCTATATAAAGCCTTTTCTGATTTCTTAGCATCTTCCCCCTCCCCTCACAAATTGTATTCTATTTTTTATTTAATTTATACATACCTATATATATATTCATATTGTCTCAAGGACAGTACTTTTTTTGGTATCCTTAGTGCCTAGCACGATACTTGGCACATAATAAGCACTTAATAAATGCTTATTGACTATTGGCTTGATTGACCTTAGATGTCTCCCAAATCTAAATTTATGATGCTCTCCATTTTTTTCCTCTGTACTTTCTTGGTAACCTCATCAGCTTACATGAATTTAATTATTATCTCTATTATCATTAATGTCCAATAAAAGTACATACTATCTAAGCATTAACAAATTAATAAGAATGTGGGAAATTGGAGCAAGCAAAGTGATGTCACTTGAATATAAATGATTGAGTATTGTTGTTCTTTCTGGTTCCACAAGCCCAGACACAATATTGTGGCATCTCAGTCTGGCTAAACGGCCCTTTACTAGTCTGTAGATCCCAGAGAATGGAGATAGTTTCTTTTTCCTAAGGTTTTCCAGTGTGAAGAAAAAGTTTGACTTGAAAAAGACAAAAATACTGTGGATGAGGTGAGGAGTGAATCCCATCACCTATCAGACCACAGGCTACCTTAAGCATAGCATCACTACAGGTAATGGAACCTCATTCTGAGCCATTGACACAGAAGAAAATATGTTAAAATGAACAGTAAGAGGTGCATTGAGCAGAGAGAAATCATTTGAGGACAACATTCTATGCAAGTATCTGGAAAGTCAGGAAGGACTGGGGTGGGGGAAAGAGTATTGATTATTT